CAAAGCACCCTCCAGTAGTCTTGCCGAGAGTGGTGCCTAGCTTTTGCTGGCCTGTGAGTGAGCATCTACAATCAAAGAGTGGCTTCCAGGAATGGAAAACAAATTAGAAAATAAGCCTTTTCTGCTTCTTAGTTCTTCTGAGTAGATAGTAACAAATGTGACAAATTTGTGGGTTTATTTTGTGGGGGTTCACAAAGACCCAAGGAAAGAAGATTGAGGCCTCTCATTTTCTTCAAGTCAAATTCAAAGCCACATCTCTGAGGATTAAAAAGCAAACACAGGGCTGGGGAGTTGGATCAGTGATTAGGAGCATTGTTGCTCTTGCAAAGGACCTAGGACACCAAGTAGTGAATTCCCAAAACCCATATGGCAGCTTACAACCATCTGTTAACTGCAGTCCTGGGGGACCTGAAGCCATCTTCTGACCATCATGGGCACGAGGCACATGTGTGGTACGTATAGATACACGTGGACAAAACACTCAAACATATAAAATAATAAAATATCGATAAACTGAAAAAAGGTGAGTACATTAATTTGTTCTATTTTAAATGACTGCAATAAACACTTTTAAAGGGACATAAAAGATAGCACCTAAAAGAAACATTCATATTTGTGCTAAAATATTTTGACTGCTGAGAGTCAGAATCTATTTATAAATAATACAGTGCTTTAATTATTTACTTTAGGTGTTAGCCTGTTACAACCAAACATAAAAAAAGATGTACTAACTTATCTGCTAGTAGCAATTTGTGTTACTATTAAAAAATTTTTGGAATATTGGGATATAATATTTCTGTTGGTATTGGGGGAAGAGGTTGTGTGGAAAATTGACAAATCAACTTGAGATTAAAAAGTCACACTTTTTTCAACTGTCCACCTCTACTTCCTGGACAGTTGTACTTTTCTGTGTGTAGATGAAAGAGTCAGTACAGGCTTATGTGGAAAGAATAAGAAATACAACTAAAGATGGCAATAGGAAGAAACGGCAGTGCTCAGATATCATTGGTACAATCTCAGGGCCTTCTATATATCCTCTGGGCCTGCCTTGTGGTGGCTTTTTGGTGTCTATTTGGTGACAATTCTGTGATGTTAATCTCCACAACAGTTGGATAGAATGGTCTGTTGCAAGTTTTCTTTTTCTTTTAAATTTTCATTTATGTGTGTGGGTTTCTCTCTGTGTATGTATCTGCCATGTGAAGCAGGTATCTATGGAGTCCAGAAGAGAGTGTTGGAACTCCTGGAGCTGGAGCTACAGTATGGATGTTGGGAACTAAACTTGGGTCCTCTGGAAGAGCAGAACAGCCAGTGTTCTTAACCACTGAGCCATCCTTCGAACCTCCCTTCCCATTGCAGGTTTTTGCTCAGTATTTGTTTTTGTGTAACATTTTAGTAAATATGGAACTGTCCAAGCAAAATTAGATTAAGAAGTCAGGAGTGAATGACCAGTTGTCCTTGACAATTAAAAAACCAAAATAGCAGTTGATTCCAAGAAGAAGAAAAAAGATATTATTCACTGAGTATTATTTCATCAGGAAAAGAAACCAGAGCACTCCCTCGAACATGCAAAGTGCAAGCACTCTTGCAAGTGTCCAATCAAATCCATACACTATGTAATCCCCATGAAAATGAAATTGGAATTCCACACCACAGTGTGAAATTGATCTAATGTCCCTATCCCACAAGCAAAGATGTTTTTTCATGTTCACATTCTAAAACCTAATAACAGCATTTCCTATCAACAACTGTAAAACATTACAGATGCAAGAATTTCTTAACCAATTTGGGCATGATGATTTAGTATAAGAAACCCCTGAGCTTTAAGTTCTCCCCCTGAGCCAACCAGTCAAACATTTAGGCATCCTTCAGGGCTCAGGAGAACCTGGCTTTCAAAAGACTATGTTCAGGGACTTCCTGGAGGCTAGCAATCTCATGTCCTTTCATGAAATGTATGGCTCAATTTGCCCCAAGCCATGGTGTGCATGTGTGTGCATGTGTGTATGTCATGCAAGCTCACACAGTCTGAGTGCCATAATTATTCAGGTTCACTTTATAGTTCTTGCACCTCTGACGGGTGCACATGTGACCTGGCACACTGGTTTGATAATATATTGGGCAACTATACATATTAATTTGCAAGTTGAACAGTTTTTTGGGGGGCAGTTAGAAAGCTCAGATTGAAATCACTAATTCAGGGTGACTTGAGTTGTCAACTATTATATAGTCAAGGCTTGACCAAGGTTTCCAGAACCCTGGCTAAAAATGAAAACTTTGAGTCAGTACAGAAATGAATTCATATACTTCACTGGTAGTGAAGAAACTTCTTGAAGAACAGATGTCAAGAGGAGTTAAGAGGAGGTGAAATTTAACATCTTTAAAAAAAAAGAAAGAAAACCCCACAAAGCACGTTAGGACAGCTCCGTTTTCAAGGAAGAAATCATTTGGGGGATTAGAGAGAGAGAACCGATCGATTTTCTTTTCCTGCATACATTGTGGACCCAGGTTAAGATCAGAAACATAAAGGGCTATCTGTCAAGCTGGGTGACAAAAACAATCTATGTTCCCATGGCACATAGGACTTCCACATTTATGCACCTTGAAGAGTGAAATCTCTCCTGACACTCATAGTCCTGTGTCCACTGCCTGAGCATGAGTCTTTCCAACTTGTCATGGGGAGATTTCATTTTGAGGCATCTCCCCCACTCAGAAAAGTTAAATATCATCTTACCCTTCCCCAAATATCCTGACATCATCTGACCTCAATCTTTCAGTCAAGACAATTGTGAGCTTTGAGTTTTTTTCTACAGGTACTTCATGCTTGATGTTTTCCAGGGTGTCTAACCTGCAACTCTCAGGCTCCTGTGAAATCCAGGATCACTATAAATGAGGCCCAATACAAACCCACAAACTTATTTAAAACATTATGATAATAGCTCTGTTGAATTATGAGGTTTTCAAGTGTGAACTCTGTAGATGACAAAGTCATGTAATGGTGTCAGAAGGTTGGATATCCCAGATTGACTCCTCTCAAGGTTAGAAAGAAACTACTACCCTGGCTGTAACTCTTAAGGTTGACAGAGATGAAATTCTCCAAGCTGTTAATGAAAGGCCTACCTGGTTAAATTGCCTGTTATTCCCCCCTCACTGGTCACCGCTCCACGCTATCCCCTAAATCCCTCCATGAATTTCTATATAGGCCCATAAGTTATTTTCAGTGATGGCAACACCTTGAATGTCTTTATAGATGGACTGTCTATATAATGCCAACATCTGCGGTCTCTGCTTTCTGTGATGTCATCATTTGGGGATGAGCTTCATCTCTATGGAGCTGAACTGGGTTCTTTTGTCTGCTTATCTAAGAGCCAATCCACAATACAAACTGTCTGTAGCTTTCTGTATGCGGCTAGGTGGCCAGAGGTCCACACCCCAAACCACCATAAACAGTAGGCACAAACAGCAGCCCCTGCTTGGGAGAGGCCCAGGACGGAGCTAGCAGAAAGACTGGATTACTTACCACCTCTAGAGTGGGTCCCTCCAGGCCAGGGACGAGCTCATGGGCAAGGCTGTGCAAGGAAGCTCTCTGTACCATGCCTGCCCTGCGGATATACAGAGGACTTCAGTGGCCTGCGCTGTCAATCTCTCAGTCAGCATGAGCTCAATTATGCACCGACAACAGCAAGAACAACAAGAACAACGACAGAACAACCCCCAAAAACTAAGGGTCACAGACTAGCCTGATTGAGGTAGGGGGCAGCGGCTGCAACTGTGGAGGTGCCATCCTGACCATACACCACCTAGCTTGGGCTGGGCCTCTCATGGTATTTCAAACTAGCATTCCGTGGAGACCCATGAGAGCCACATGGAGGAACTGCAAGTCTGGGCCCTAAATGTCAGGTAGCTTCTTCTCATTGCAAGAGACTTCTTTTACTTTAAAAAATAAAAATTGCAATTTCTTATATTTTTCTCCTCTACAAATACAGAAAGACAGACAGACAAACCCAAGAGCAGATTTGGAGAATCAACTGAGGCACAAGTGAAACTATTTTGATGTTACATAGATATTGCTCCCCGCCCCCAATGATTCACATGGAACTAAAAAAAAAAAGTGTGAAAAGTTAAATGAAGAAAAATGTGGGAATATATCCTTGTCATTCCTCTGTCAAAGTGCCAAAAATAGATTCAATGCTGGACTTGGGAAGATGCCCAAACACATCTCATAGGTAGCATGTATTTGTGGTCTGAAATACTCATCAAATTCTAAAGACTCTATTCGTTCTAAGGCCTAAACAATATACTGGTGAGCTACAGTGAAGGTTGACTGCTTGCATCAGCAGCACAGTGTTTCATTCTGAAGTTCAAGGCTCAGTCAAACATCCCTGCTCCGACTGCACATCACAGCACCTTACACTGACATGAGTTGGTAAGTTTATGGTGGAATCTGAGTGAGGCGGTTGATGAAGGCGATTGACCCTGAGATGAATACAGAGCATAGACCCAGCACACAGATCCACACCACGCTATCAATGCCAGTTACCAGGGCCCCCACGGACCATGCCATGGCTGTGCAACAGCGCCTCTATTCCCCTCCGTATCTCTGCTCCACAGACATAAGAACAAAACAACCTCATCTGTGAGCTAGTGGCAAGGAAAAGGAGAGAGAAGTTTAAAAGAAATCAGGGTTTTCTAGAAACTCTTCTAAGAAGGATCCAGAATAAGAGGTGAACAGTAAGTAATTGATCCTCCTGGCTAGGTTTCGAGGCGTCTCTACAGATTTGTGGCTTGGAACACCAGAATTCACCAGCTTACGCCTGACCTTGCTCATCAACACACACTCAGTACAAACAGGTGGAGATGTGCCAAATCCGACCACTACAGGTTGAAAATATGACCACTATTGACCATGGAAACATTGGTTTATGTTCGAAGGGCCACAGCAGCCAGACATATGCGAATTCCAACTCTTCCGAAAACTTGGGACAGAAACAAAATGTATTACTTACATGTGTGCGTCTTCTTCGTCACTGAGATCCCTGCAAGAGAAGAGACAGAGAGACAAAGGTCAAGAGAGGTCCTGTGAGGGTCTCTGTGGTCATAGGTCATACAGTGTGTGCTTGAAACATGTCACCTTCAGTCAGTGACAGAGCTGGGATTGATCCCAGGACATACTCCAAAGCCTTAAATTGTAAAAGGCAGGAACCATGAGCTTACCGCCTCTCTTATGAGCTAACTGCATGGTTGATAGCTTGGTCAGCACCATGCTTGTCTTGCAGACACAAGTGTTCAACCCTCAGAATACAAATTAATTATTTTTATTGGTGCATGTTTGTAGTCCCATTGCTGAGGCGGCAGATGAGGGCACACCACATTCCTGGAGCTTGCTAGCCATTCAGGCTAGCTCTTTTGGTGAATTTCAAGCCAATGAGAGACTATCTTCAAAATAAAAGTGGGTAGTGCCTGAGGAACTCTACCTGAGGTTGTCCTCTGATCTCCACATACACATGCATAAACATAGACCTGCATATATGTGTGCATCCCCACTCAGGTACGCATACACATGCACTCACACATGAGGCAACGACACAGACAGTGATGAAACAGCGTGAAGATGAGCAAAAGCTCATTGCTTCATTGTCAGTATGGGAGGGGATCATGTTAATAGGCAGAAAGAAGGCACAAGAGAGCAATGCCAAGGGATTAATTTGGCACAGCCATTGATTCTGAGCTTCGTTTTTAATGGAAATATTCCTTCCTGCTTACTCAAAGCATAGTTTTTTTTGGTAAAGAAAAATGCAATTGCACGCACTCGTGCACGAACACGCGTGCACGCGTGCGCGCGCGAGCACACACACACACAGACATATAATGTTATTTATGTGTCTGTATTTGTTAAAGCATAGGGAAATGATAGCCTACTCTCTACAAATAGTATCGCTATGTATGGTGGGAACACAGAGGATGCATGAGTCAGCAACTTGGATGTTCCCAAGAAGATTGATGAGTGACAGGTGACAAGTGGAACTAAGTAGTTGCTGGCAAATGGCACCCGACAGAGAGGATGACCATAAGCTTTGATGCAAGCAGTTCTAGCTCCATTTCACAGTATCTAAGCTTTGAACATCGCTTACGCTTCAGCCTTCTAGGGAGACATTCTCAGGGATAAACTGGCTCAAAACAATCATGAAAACATTTAACTTGTGACTAAGAACCGCGGTAAACCTTGAACTTTTTTTTTCAAGTTATTAAGAGAACTATTTAACCCTCCCCTGGAAAGTAAAAGTAGCTGGAAAATTTGGCACCCCGCAACATCGGACCTATTACTTAGCTATGGAACACATCGTTCGGGGAGGAGATGTGTTATGAAAACCCTTGGTAGACATTAAGGGAAAAAAGTTTCAAAGTTGTGAGCCAAGACCAAAATCACACACTTGCTTCTCCAAAGTTTTCCAAAGGCCTTATTTAAGGAAGCTGAAATTACATAGCCCAATTCAAATTTACCCCCCCACCCCCTTATAGAGGAAAACCAGACTGTTGTTTTTCATTGTGTTTACTTTGACGTTTCAAAGTGAAGGGAGATCCTTCTGTGAAGACCCTCAGAGACTCTCCAAGGGAACTGCAGAAGCATTCTAGAAGTTTCAGAAGCCTCGCTTATCCTAGAAAAGCCTCTCCCCCCCCAAAGCAGCAGTGAGTGGTCTTAAAACTTGAATATGATTTGTAACTCCAGCTCATGATGCCAGCGCCAATAAATGGCTACATTAGTGCCTTTTCAGCATTACTGGAGATGCTAGCATGCTCTCCTTAGGAAATGGCACCTTCTGGAAAATCACTTTGAAGGGAAAGTGCCTAGGCTGTCACTCCTGATTATTCAGCCCCCACACACAATTGGATTGAACGCAACCCCAAACAGACCTATCTATATTCGCTGAGTGTGGAACTCTTTTTCTCCTGACACTCCAAGGCCTGATGAAAATCCCACGGCGTTGGGTTTTCTACTTAAAGTTATTATTCAGCGTGGTACCGTGTTCTCATCAAATTTTTTCATGATGATTACACTCATAATAGATTTTGAATCTCTTTCCAGGAAAGCTGCCTGATCCTGGAGGTTTCGGTAGCGGGCATGGAGCACATCTGTCTCTTGAGAGAAAGCATATCTTCGTCTTCAAAACGGCTCAAACTCTTGGTCTTGTAGTTTCGAGATACTGCCAATTAACAGTCTATATAGGCCAGAGGAGGGTTTGGGTTGCTAAAGGTAGCAGAGAAAATACAGAACACCAGGCTGTGTTTGAACTTCCACTATTAACTTCTTTCTCTTACATTTACATTTTACTGAGAAGTGTGTATTCTATTTGACAACTCCAATCTATATAAATATAATCCTAAATTACATTGTCTTTTACAATGAAGATATACTAGCCAATCAAATGAAGAAGAGCATAAAGCCACACTTCCTCTCAAAAGCAATATTTGTTTTAAAAGCACTAGTCAACTGAGTACAGTACATTGTTGTTTTTTTTTTTTTTTTTTTTTTTTTACAGAGGAGCTATTTTGAAGACAGAATTCTGTTTCCCTAGAAAAGGCAAACAAAAGCAACAGTGTAAACTCATGAAAGATAAATTCAAGGGAATAATTAGAAGATTTATAAAACTTCCTTTGTCCTCCTCACTTGAAAAATAAATCATCTTGACCCTGAAAATGTCTTGAACTTGGCCCCCTTCTTTCTCTATGGGACTTGTGATACTTTATATTTACGACTCTACAGACATAACAAAGGAAAAAGAGATGATCTCTGTATTTCACAGAAACCATGGCCCAGGGAAACTTAATTAGCATATTTAAAGTTTCTCTGTGGAAGTTATTGCTTGATGAGAAACATGCCCAAGGCAAGTCTTTAAGACCCTGGTGTAGATAGGACCTCTAAAAAGCTTGTCATGAGGAGACCTACCCCCTCAAATCTGTCCTTAGAAGTGAGCTGTGTAAATGGTTTAAGCTTATGGGAAGAGTATTTAAACTCTGTCTCCAGCTTATTTAAACCAAGCCCCAACTCAGGTTTGGGGGAGAGAGTGAAACACACAAAGAAACTCCGTCTCACCATCTAGAATATTCTAGAAGAAACGGACCGTTCTGCAGGGCCTCCATCTGCTCCCATCCCTCTTGTATCACCAACACCCAGTTGGGCATCCTGCTTTTGTCAATTCCCACTGTTTGCTCAGTCACCCGACAGTAAAGTTTTTTCTTTCTCTTCTTAAGTTTGTGGAGATTTAGTTTCTGGTCATCCTCACTCAGAACTGGTCTCATCCTCAATGTACACACAACAGTCACACAGTGCCAATCCTTCCTATTAAAGAAAGGGGAAAGACTTTGGAGGCGGGGCAGGGAAGTTCTTATCTAAATCTAGGGCGGGCTGCAGCAGAAGAAAGAATCCTTAGAATTAAGACTTCCCAAAGGAAGATCACATTTAATGTTAAGAATGCAAAGAATGTATTTTACTCAAGAATAGAAGAGTAAGTTTCTTCAAAGCCACTCTTAGGAGAGCTGGATCCAGCCCACCTGTGTTCCTGACATTTGGCTGAGAGACCTTGGGCAAATCGTTAAACCTCTCTGGATTTGAATTTCTCCAAGGAGAATACAGATAATCTTTATAAGACTCAAAAAGATTGCTGTGATGATTCGAACAAAACCATTGCTTTGGTTTTGTGGAGTCTGATATTAAATTTAATTTATTTTGGTAAAGAATAAACAACCATATATTATTCTTTAAAATTTATATCTTCATTTTATATGTTTTGCCTGTATATATGCCTGTGCATGTAGTGCATGTTAGATCCCTGGGACCTGGAATTACAAATATCTACTACGTAGGTGCTGGGAATTGAACCAGTGTCCTCTTATCTCTTCAGCTCTATCTACATACAGTATTATTATTATTTAAGGATCATAAAAAGGGGAAAGGGGAGAGGGGAGACCAGCCTCTGGGGACAGGAGCAGGAAAAGAGGAAAGAGGGAGGGAGAAAGGGAGGGAGGGAGAGAAAGAGGAACAGACAGATAACGAGGGAGAGAGAGAGCCACACAGCATTATTTTAACAAAATGGAATCATCACATGCTACTGGAAGCTATGACAGCTGCCTTCCTGTCATCCCTGTGTTTGATACTGACTCAGGGTCCATGATTTCCATTGTTTGTGGTTGGAAGAAAGCATGGCATAGACAAGCATGCTACATGAGGCCAAGAGAACTTTCTGGTAGAAACAAGCACCATGTTGATTCTCTTCTCAGTTTAGTTCAGAGACGCTACTCACAGCTGATGGGGTAGATGAAGGATGTTGCTCACTGCCTCCAAAGGATGACCAAGGGCCTGGCTTCTGTGAAGGGCTTTCTTTACTTACAGATGACTGATATAAAGACAAGGTCATGTCTCAGAGTCTCACAAACAGGCAGAGCAAAGGTCTCTGCAGACAGAGAAACTTTATGGAGGGGTGGGGAATGGTGGCATGACTTCTCTTCCAAACACAAAAATTTCACAACCCTGAATCCAGAGTGACCTCAGTGGACAGCCTGGGCTACCTGCTCAGTGTGTCTGGACTTAGTTTTCTTATGTATAAAATATAGTAGTGGGGCTATTCTCCAACTTGTTCTTGGATGAATAGCTCCTTGCACTGCCTCTAAACAACTGCACCAAACCATCTCTTCTAAGCAGCAGGCTGTCCTGTTGGACCTGTTTTGAGAAAGCAAGATGCACTCATAATCAAAGACAACCCCCTGGAACATTTTCCTCTTTCCTTTAAAAACCAAAAATGAAAGAAGGCTATGTTCACAGGAGGTTACTCATCAGTGAGAGATACACTTCTCGTGGGGATATCTTTTAAAGTTATCTGGGAGCCTAGGGAGGTCCTAGGCTCCTTATGTTTCTCCTAGAGTCATGTGTGCACACTCACATGCCACACACAGACATAAAATAAACACAGAACTTTTGTCATATTGTAAAGTACTCTAAATTGCTGTGGAAGTGCCCCAAGTATGTGTGTGTGTGTGTGTG